CCATGATTTATATCACTGCATCACCTCTGAGTCCAAGAAGTAGATGGTGACCCTGGATGATGACTCAACAAACATGGCATCACCCCCTGGCGGTAAAAGCAGATAAAGACATTATCAGGGAGAATACTGTGATCTCTGTGAGAGGTAATGAATACCTGTATGTGTTACACTCACTCACATATACTTATCATGCATTAGGTAAATATTAAAAGTAGATCTGGTGCTAGCAGGTCTGCATTTTACCTGTGATTCTGCTAATGGACCTGCATTTCATGCCGCGGCCATGGCATTTAAGGACATTTTTTGAACAAATTAATTTAATGCAAATATTTTTAGACATCTTCCTTTAAAATACATTTTTCAAAACATGAAATGTGAGTTTTCGCAGACATAAAATTCCATTAAGATAAGTCATTACAGATTAAAGGCTAATTGCATGGGTGTCCATATGCCTCACCATGTCACTCTTAAAATAATTACAGGATGCCATCTTCCACCTACAGTCGCCCGTTACATATCAGCAGAGCTCTGGATCTGCCTGTCATCAAAGCGGAGCATTTCTGTTTGATACAAAGCATAGGTTCAGCAAAAAGTGTCCATTAAAGAATCCATAGCAACTGAACGCCTCAGACAGTCTCCTGCTGAGTGCTTAGAAAAATATAATTTTGCTACAATTACCCTGTCAAGTGGTTAGTAATCAGAATCTACGGTCGCCATGTGTTATGTTTTCCCCGAGAACAACAGTAGCCCGAATGTCTCCCGGCAGCACGTCGCGTTCCCGCATTGGCGCTGGCGGGACGTTTTGTACATACGCGCAGCTCTGGCATAAATACAGGTTATGGGTTTACAATTTCACTTGGTAAAATCAGTGATTATTATATGTGTGTGCGAAAGAGACCAAAATAAATACAGCAGGAAGGAAAGATTATGGAAGGAGCGTATTAGCATCTCTGCAATTAAGCCTGAGAAGGCTGTGCTTGCAAAGAGACAAAGACTATAAGGAAATCAGGATGTAATATCAAGTTACATGATATATGCAATGTATAGCTTTTCATTTGTCCGCTTGTATGTATTCATTTGGAATTATGCTGAAAGTTGTCTGCTGTTTTCATCAGTACATACTGTAGCTATAATCTCACCGCTGCTCCCCTAGACTTGAATGCAAAAATGTAATGTTTCTCTTTATTTCCTTTAAAGAGACCCTGTCAGGTCCCTAAACAAATGCAAATTGAACCCTCACTATAAGAGAACATGTATTATGCTCATACTTTTCAGTGACCCGTTACAGCATTGCAGCCTCTGTCAGTGCCTTTGACATTCAAAAATTCTGGGAGTATCCCCTGGTACATGCTATGGTTCTATCCCCAACATCTATATAACTGCTCCTCAAAGGATGGAACTGTTTTGTATGGTGGCAGTCACAAGCAACCAATACTCATGGAAGTATAGTATGCTGAAGCGTACGGCGAGGCTGCAATGCTGGAACAGAGGGAAAGTAGGGGACTCGGGCCACTAGAGAAATGAGCATAATACCTCTTCTGTTGCAGGGGTGTGCCATTTGATGAGAGGCCTGACAGGGTCTCTTTAAATAGTGCTTGCAAATTAAATGCACAAAACAATAACAAAATCCACCTAAAGTTGTTTGCTGAAATTGACACTTCTAGTAATGTTAGATGGCTGTGTCCCCTGACACATGCTGTGGTTCCATCCTCTATATAACTGTTGCTTGAAGATGGAACCATGCTGCCTGACGGGGATCATGGCCATCCCATACTCCTGGAAGTATTGTATGCCAAAGTCAGGCAAGGCTGCAGTGTTTGAACAAATGGAACATTGGAGACAAAGGCCATGGAGACACCGGCTATGGGTGCCCTGGCCCCCCTCTGGCCAGAGCGCCCATGGCCTGTAGTGAACCTAAAAAATCCACCTAGAGTGGTTTGCTGAAATTGACACTTCTGGTAATGTTAGATGGCTGTGTCCCCTGACACATGCTGTGGTTCCATCCTCCATCCCCATTATAACTGTTGCTTGAGGATGGAACCATGGTGCATGGCAGGGATCAAGGCCATTCAATACTCCTGGAGGATTTGCATGCCAAAGAGTCAGGCAAGGCTGCAGTGGTGGAACAAATGGAACATTGGAGACAAAGGCAAAATGTGCACATTCTAGCATCATCACTTTAGAATTACTCTATGACCATTAAACAGCAATATAACATATATATCACCATGTTTGACTTCTGTGCACGTTTCAGTTGTCCCCCTCCCCACCCCCCATGGTATCTGTGCTTTTTAAGTGCAAAGCTGGGACTGGTAAACACTTCCTCTGTGTCCTGATGCTGTCAAAGATGTAGATAACACAAGTGAGGTTGAGCAACACCATGCGTTGTATGGTGTTACTGGTAAACAAATGGCAGTTTCCAGTGCTGATTGCTGGACACCCAAGTGAACTTCCACTTTAGTCTACCAGTGATGTAATTCCAAACATCTAACCGCTTATGGCTTGAAGTATCACCATATTCTTATTAAACACTGGAGCTTGTTGCGTTCAGAACCCAATATGGTAGAGTGAAATTGAGATATTTGGTTTGCCTGAAACTTCTGTGAAATCAAGGCTGCAGACTTCAGCAAAATGTTACCATTTTGGATAAATGAATTGGAGTTAATGAGGAAGGGAAATCAATGCTTTTGGTGGTTTTAAGGTTGTTTTTTTTTCCACCTGTGATGTGGCCAGTAAGTCTGTTATATGTCAGTGAGAGGGTTAAGACAAAGTGACACTAAACTCAGTTACAACTCAGTTATTTTTAAGTGTTAAATTATAAAAATACATTCAAGGACCCTAACTATTAACAGAAATGTATCTTATTTGTGTATCACTTGGCTGTAGATCCTTAAGCCATCCATGAATTGGTGCTGACACTGTCCTTTCTTCTGGAGGGTGGCTGCTTTAGTTCCCCATGGTCCCTGTGTGTGTTGTAAAGAAGTCCAAGCTTCGGACCCATGATGAACTGCAATCTTGGGTTAAGTTTACTAATTTGTATTGAGATTGTAGTCCATCACGGGAGCAAGCTTGGAGCTGTGTCTACTGTACAACACACACAGGGACCATGGGAAGATTGGCAATCCCAGCTCCTTCTCTTAGTATATGTTTCCTTTAATGAAGAACTCCAGGGAAAAAAAATATTACCTCTTGCAGTGGGGCTACCCCCGCACTTCAAGAGTTAACTGCTCATTTTTGTCTAGGTTTAAAAAAAAAAAAGTTATACCCACCCGATGGCTCTGAGCTGTCTTGTTCTTAGACCAGTCCTTCCAACTTCTCTCCCCCAAACCTGCAGCAGTCTAGGATCCCGTAAATCATCACGTCTATACACAGTGTATACTGTAGATATGGGGATACTGAGTAGAGATGTCAGCCAGCAAAAAATTTGTTTTGGTTCGTTTCAGATGCTTCGTTATTCTGTTTTTCGGTTTCGTTAATTACGAATTAGTTAAACAATAATTATGAGCGAAAACTTCATTGCAGAAAAGTGACATTAAATGTTTACTTTGTCTCTATTTAACTTTTAACAGTCTGCAGAAACACTACAGAAAAAAAAAACAACAACAGTGTGCGATTCCCCCCTGTAATTCATACCAGGCCCTTTGGTCAGGTAGGAATTTTAGGGGGACCCCAACACCATTTTTTTTTTAAACGTGTGGTCCCCCCTAAAATTCCTTACCAGACCCTTGATCTCAGCAGCAGCATGGCAGAGCAAGAAAGTGTGGGAGGACGCTTACCCCTCCCTGCACCATATTAGCCCACATGCCCGCAGAATTGGAAGGGTGGGATGAGGACAATGGCCTCTTCTCCACAAACCTGACCCGGTAGTTGTGGTGCTCTGCGTCAGGAGGGCTCATCTGCATCTGGGTACCTCCTTTCATAAAGGGACACCCAGGTGCCGCCTTCCCCTTTGTGAATGAGTAGTTGTTACACCTACTCATTCACCAAAATAGTACAGTAAAATGTAAATAAACACTCAACACCTTTTGAAAAAAATCCTTTAACTGTATGGAAAAACACAAAAAATTCCTTTACTAAAAAAAAAAAAATTCCTTTATTGAAAAAAAAAAAAAAAAAAAAATCGTCCAACGATGTAATCCATGGTCATTCACGATGAATGACGCCCGCTGATCAGCCGATATAAAAAAAGCAACCATCCACTGCCGACAAACTGCCTCCACTAAATGACAGATTTGACAGCTCCTACCCATATGTAAACAAATGGGTGGAGCTAGTCCCATGATATTCCAGGACTCGCGCCAACCATTTGATTTCATACCATTTCAAGACCGTGAGCTGTCATGGCAAGAAAACCAATGGGCAGTGTGAGTCCCGTGATGTCATTGGACTAGCACCACCCATTTGTTTACATTCGGGCAGGAGCTGCCAAATCTGTCATTTAGCGTCGGCAGTTTGTCGGATTCGTTTTCTCTGTCATTCAGACATTCAGATGCATCCGAATTTACAGAACTTCGTACAAATGTCAATTTGGAACGAAATGTATCACACGTCTAATTCTGAGGAAGATTCCAATGATCCAGTGTAGGAGTAGAGAGGCTGGAGGGCGCGCAGTTACAGCTGACCGCCTCAGAGCTTCAGGTGAGTACAACTGTATATAAAGCTATTTTTGAACCTAGAACAAAGACAAGCACTTAACCCGTGCAGTGCGGGGCTAGTCCCACTGCACACGTTAGGAAAAAGTTTTCCTGGAGTTCTTTTTTTAATATGCTAGCGCTGGTATATCTTGCAGCAGTCTTTCCTTTCTGTAATCTCTGCAGCATTCCCATGGGTGCTACTTCCACCATTGAGGTGGAAGTAGTACCCAGGGGAATTACAAAATGGCTGCCTGCACCATGGTTAAGTGACAGGTTCCGTTCAAAGAAGAAAACTGCAATCTGGTTATTTTCACTATCTAGCACACAGCTGCTTGCTCCTTACGGAGTGTTTTCTGCTTGCTTCAGCAGAGAGAAGCCACCAGCTGCTACCGGAATAAGTCAGAACAGCACTGGAGGCACGGGGAAAACTCGCAAGACTTCGACAAGCAGCAGGGAGCATGCTAAATCAACATAGACCCGGGATCCGCAGCTCACCCAGGCTACAGAAGAAAAACAAAGTTCTGTTACTTTTTACACGTTGTTTTCAAGAGTGTTTCTTTTTAATTGTCAGCATTTCAAATAAAAAAAACAATAAAAAAATAAATAAATGATCCTACTTTGTGTCAATCTCCAAAAAAACATCAAGGCCTTTCGCAATTTCATTTCATTTTCTTGCATTTACAGGGCCAGAGTCTGGACTGTAGCTGGAGGTTCTGCCGGGGACCCAGAGTTTACCTCTACGCGCTCCTGTGGAGGTGTACAAAAGTACAATTTACAAATTAAAGAGAATAATATTTTACAACTGAAGAGCACAAGTGACAATCAAGTTTTTTTATCACGTTGGGTTTTTCATTCCCGTAGAAGACCTATCAACATCCTTAATTGGATTACATTTTAAACTATTCTTAACCCCTTCCCACCAGTGTAAGGTCCTATTCACACAGAGACATATGTCGTGGTCGGAGATTCCTTCGTCAAGAACCTACGGATTCTGGTAGCCGGAATGTCAGAGGTCCCCGTTCAGATACGGTCACTGTATACATTAAAGTTAATGCCCGGGTCAAAGTGGCCGCATAGTGCATGGTAAGATTACATGAAGTTTGGGATCGATAATTGTCCCTGGATGCAGGATAAATGCTAGACGAAACAAATGAAAATGAAAAACATTTTCATTCGCTTCATCAATGGAAACAAATTTTAATGCTGTTTTAGATTTGGAGGCAACGTGCCTCCGAATCCGAAAACCGCACAAAGAAATTGCAGAACGAGCTGCGGCCGTATTGGCCGCCAGCGTGTTCTGTGCATGTGTGCCGCCATTTGAGTATATCTTTGTAATTTTTTTACAAAGATATACTCCAAAATGGCGGCTTTCATGCACAGAACGCGCTGGCGGACGATTTGGCCGCCACTCGTTCTGCGAATAACGTCACCCAATGCCGCACACATGCGGCGTCATGTAACATTATGCACATGACGCCAGGCATGCGCAGAACGCGCTGGCGGCCAATATGGTAACTCTGATAACTACTTTTTATATGCCCAAATATAATTTTAGTATATTCGGGCATATAAAAAAATTGTTATTTAGGATTCGGACGAACCGCTGAAACAACTGAATTTTATTGATTTGCAGGTTCGTCCGAATCTGAATGCACATGTCTAATAGATGCAATCAGTGACAGTAATCTATCCCAAACCGCATGTAAACGTACCACACACAGTTACATGCGGACTGCCACTGATAGATGCGGATGCTGTTACCTGATCATGAACAGGGACACCTGGCATCCATAGCTTCTTGCCACTGGAATGCCAGAACACCCTGTGTGCATACAGCCAAACACATATATGCAACATCGTGGAAGTAGGATTACTTACGTGGTGCCGCATATATGCCACACTCAATTGCGCTCCTCCAGCATCGGGAACAAGCTGTTGCTAACAACTCTTGGTCTCATGCTAGCAATTGACGGCCAGAAGAACCACCTCGATAGCCAATCACAGTGATCATTAGTTTTAGACCCCTCCATATTGTAGCTTTTTGAAGTCTGAATTTAAATATTTAAAAAATCTGTAAAAAAAAAAAAGACAAAATAGATAGATAGGGGCTTGATCTAGGTTAGTGTCAGTGTTAGCATTATAGCCCTACTTCAGGTACAAACAACAACTAACGAACACTTATGTGCAGTGGCGTAACCAGAGTTATGGGCGCCCGGGGCAGAACACTTTTTTTCGCCCCCCCCCATATTTGTATGTGGTATCTCCATGCACATCAGGAGTAGGTGAATTTTTATTTGGCCATGGGCCATGGTAAGAAATATACAGTTGAAGTTTATAAGTATATATATTATTTGTTTTACTCTTTTGGGTCAGTTTCCTTTGATAACAAAATAAAAATTGGGAGACATCCACTAGCATTTGCCGAATCTGAAAAAAAGAAGATATAATTCTCCTGATGCGTCGAGTAGCTGCAAAGATATTACAGTTTTACTACCACATGCCAAAGTTGAGAAGCTGGATTCAGGCATTCAGGTTTGTTTTACCTTCTGTCATTAGGAGGTTAAATAATGATGAACTCAAGGAGTGATTGGAGCAAAACCACCAAACCTCTTACAGTTGCATTACACAAACCGATCTACTGTCTACTTGGAGATAGGTAGAGAGCTATGACCTACCTAAGTGTAGGGCACCTTTCATAAGTCTTATCATGGGGTTCAGTTGCGAATTAGTGTCAGAAGTGGAGGGTCACACTGGTTTGTGGGAGACACTATTTGCAATTTTCATAATCTAGAGAAAAAAAAACACTCTACATAATGTATATTATTATAATGTATTATTACAGTCAATACAAAGCCCAGTCTCCTTCTTTTTATGTCTCTTTAGGCCTGGTTCACACCTGGGCGTTTTACAGCGCTGATCGACGCGATGTAAAAAGCCCAGCAAGTGAAATCCCATACTTTCCTATGGGCATGGTTCGTATTTCAGCTCGTAGGAACGCGCTGAAAAACGCCCTACGCCCAAAGAAGTACAGGAGCTTCTTTGGGGCGTATTTTCCGCACGTATCCATTAGGATACAGCTGGATAGCCCTCATAAATGCACGTTTGTCGCGTGTTTTGTTGACCGCAAATCGTGGTAAAAACGTGCATCAAATGCGCATATTACGAACGCCCAAGTGTGAACCCGGCCTTATAGTCCTGTACCCAGGTTATGATTTGTTACTGATTTTTGCTTGGAAATGCCTTAAAATACCCTTTTCTGTCAATGATACCGTGGCTTAGTGATTAGCACTTCCACCTTGCAGTATTGGGGGTCCTTGGTTCGAATTGTGGTCGGGACACCATCTTCATGGAGTTTGCATTTCCTCCCTGTGCTTCAGTGGGTTTCTTCTGGGTACTCTGGTTTCTACCCACACTCCAAAGACAAGCTGGAAGCTTAATTGGTTCCTGTCTAACTTGGCCCTGTATGTATGCATGTGAAATAAGGACCTTAGATTGTAAGCTCCTCGGGGCAAGGACTGATGTGCATGTACACCATGTAAAGCACTGTGTAACTTATCAGCACTATATAAATAATAATGAAAATCTTGCTTTTTACACTTCCACTTTATGCTGGCATAGCTGAGTTATAGCCTCACCCCTCAGCACAAGTATCCTCACACAGACAAAAAAGGAGCACGTCTGACCAGCTCTGCTACTGAGTGTTAATTCCTGAGTGTGTCACGAACAGGGGTCCATGTCCCCAGAGAGAGATTCAGTTCAGGAAATACAGATGCCTACCTGAGGCAGCATGCAGACACAGGTGTCACAAATGTGCTTAAGATGCAATGAATGCAATTAGTCACACGCACACCAGGTCTAATGTGTCAAAACTCCTTTATTTAGAAGCTAAGAATACATGGTGACACAGCTGTCCACTAGTGCCACCATGTATTCTTAGCATCTAAATAAAGGTGTTTTGACACGTTAGACTTGGTGTGTGGGTGACTACTTGCATACTTGGATTTAAGCTGCGCCATCCGCTGATCACGCCAACACCCGTTTGACTACATTGGGATTACCGTTTGGAGTGAGGTGGGATGTATGCTTTCTGGGTTGGTTCACACCACAGACAGTGCGTTCCAGAGCGTTTGGGCTCTGGAAGGCACTGTATTGCACTCCGGCCGACTCCCTGCGTTCAGGGGCAGGAGGGTGCATTAAAGTCACGGCCACACCCCCGGCCTGCCGTGCAATCGCCTACACTTGAACACGTGGCATATTAATTCCTGCTTTCTGGTCCAGTGCGATGGGCAAAAATGCTGCAAGCAATGTGCCCCGCGTCTGTGTGGGGGCAATTGCATTGCGGGCGGGGAGGGGATTGCACTGCACTCCTGCTCCTAAATGCAGGGAGTCGGCCAGAGTCGGCCAGAGTGCGATACAGTGCGTTCAAGAGCCTGACTGCTCTGGAACGCACTGATTTTGGTGTGAACCGGCCCGGAGCATCCATTTCATACAGAATAAATTGCTTGCTTTTCTATGGGCCAGTTTTATCAGAGAGTATTTCTTCTCACTCCCTGGTCTGGTCCTTTTCTCTCCAGCAGCAGAAAATGGGCGGCCACTGGGTTTGCATTCTACATGATTACAGCATTGAATGGCAACAAGACCTTTGGGATATCAGTCATCAAAACCATAAATAGCAGGAAGGAAGAATGTGGGACCATGGGGAGCAGTAAGTAATACTCCTTGTGAAATCATCCCTTCAAAAAACCAACAGTATATTCTTTAACCATTGGCAAGGGGGACGACAAACTCATTTTTTTAAGAACTGCCCAGAGTTAAGTTGGGTACACATGGTTCAAATTTTGTGTGGTTCCTGATGAACCGTCCAATATTCGCACCATGGGTGTCGCTGATGGCATCCTTCAGCCCGGCATCCCTCGATCAGCTGTTATAAGGAGCTGGTCAGAAAATTCTCAACTTCGGGTATTCTGACAGCGGGGGATTTGTTCGTCAATGCTGGTAAGTGTTGATGGAGGAAGCTATTCATTTTTTTTTACTCCGCCCATGGGTTGAACGAAAAAAATAGAACTGTGTATACCCTACTTTACACTTTACAAAAGACTCCTGGCAACCAGTGATGTAATTGGTTGCCAGGAGTCCATGCCTGAGACTGTGACTGGACAGTGAAAAGAGAAGCACGAGACTGATGAGCTCATATCTCTGCCACTCTACTCTCTCTTCCTATCAGCATGGTGATTGTTAGAACCTGAGCACTGCAGCACAGATGATTGGCTCCTTCTGCTGCTTTTCCCTCTACCAGTCTGACCTCTGCTGTGCAGGGACTGCAAGAGGCTGATACCAAGTCAAATTCAGCTACTTACGCTGCTTAGATTTAAAAAAAAAAAATACATTGGATATCTAATTATGAATACATGTATTAAGTTGTATCTTCTAAATCTGCCTGGAATTTAGCTTTGACTCCATTGAAAACAATATTTAAATATGATTTTTCAGGGTCTATCCATATATTAATGTCACTTGTTTCTTATAAAGCACCTAATTGCTGCAGCAGCTCCTCCGACACGAAC